TTATTATTATTATTATTAGAACAATGGCCACCTATAGTAAATTGAATCAGTTGCATTGTTAAGTATTGAAATAATTAAAGAATAAAACTATTGTACCATAGACAGAGCAGAGTTAACTCTCTAGTCTTGCTTTTTGGTTGACGTTCAGGCGAACTAACAGATCTAACAGGTACATTATGCAGGATAACATATTTTTTGTATGAATGCTCGGAAAAAGTCGAGTGCATCGCTGGATATAAAAAGGTCACTTTTAGATCAAGATGTCTCATAAGTATTGCTCCAATGCAAAAGACTATTGTTAGAAAACAATGTTTAGGATACATCCTAACTTGGGAGACCTTCGTAAAATCAATCCCCGGTTTGCTCACAGAGGGAAGAAATCTTTTGACAGTAATTCCGGCCAGCTGTCTTAATACGTGGCTGCATGGTGAAATTACATGTATGTTCACCATAGAGAAAGCACATATGTAAAGGTATCGCCGCGCTCGAGAATGTTGAGCTAGGCTCTTCGCGACTTCGCGAGTCCACCTTCACCACGTTTCTCACAGCAAACGATAAAGAAAATATTGAAACTACATCTCATATCTCATTTTGGGTGCAATTTTCAATTGATTCCACGCATGAAAAAGAACGTATTCTATTGACAATCACTAGTCCGGCCGGTGGCATAGCTCAGGTAACCCACAAAACCAAAACAAAAGAAAAAAAAAGGACATGATTGACTTGTTTTCTCTATCTCGGAAGACCAAAAAATTAACCCACAGGAAATTATTGCTTTTATTAAACACATTTGTATCTATCACACCCCAAACACTTATAACAAGCAGCAAGCTGAGGTAATGTTTAATTACGGTTCCGTTGAAAAAAAATGGAAAAGGGCACAAATGATTAAAAAGACCCCAGCTTGTACGCGGCTAAATTATAGTTGTTCACTTACATATTTCACTGGCTATCGTTGACCGATTGCTACATTTGCTGCTCACACGAAATTCAATTCAAAACCTGAAAACGGAACCCAACAAAATGATGCCATATTGCCAGTGAGTTTCGTCAGGGCTGAACAATACGCCCAGCAGTAAACTGATACATAATCTCCCCGACTGCTTCTATCACACAGAGAAAAGATTATTTCACTCTGTAAATAGTAAAATTGTCGTGAAATTTCAACTCAAGAAGCTTAAAAGCCAGCTCGCAAACGTTTAGCCATATTGAGCTTACCGGAAATCGTAGACCCGACATGCTGTTATTTT